GGAGCGGTTGGTTGTACTAAGGCGATCTACATAGGACAATCCTGAAGCTCTTTTATACTCGAGAAACTACTCGATATTATTATATCAAATTGACAGTCGTTGTCAACAGTATGATATAATTCGTGTGTAATTAAAGACAATTTCTCTTTTACATTCCAATTGGGAATCGTCTGCATGACTACGTAGTACATTGCGTTGGAGTAAAAGGTCATAACGTTTGTCATATAATACCTTACAATTCTTTAGTACACCTGTGATTTAATGAAGATACTTCTATTTTTAATGAAAATAATAAAGTCGTTGGAACAAAATGATAGAAAGGCACTCCTGTTAATATGATTTTGGATTTTTAATCTATTCTTGAATATTTTAATTGTGTCTATGTTTCTTTCAGTGTTTGTAAAAAAATACCATATAAAGATATCGGAAGTTTTGTCCTCTTGAACTCTTGAACTTAAAGAATGTAATAATAGTAGTGTACATTATTGTTGGGTACGTTATCACAAATACTTATGGTCTAACAACTATTTATTGGTTTGTTATGATTCTCCATACGCCAATGTGAATTATTTTTACAGTCTATGCAAGTGACTCAGACTGTTTTGTGTGCTGTTAAATAGGTAACGATTAAAATCTTGTCACATGATCTATTTTTCAAAAAATAAAATAGAATGGTCGCCATTATTTTATCGATTCGATTACCAAAAGATTACTGTATAAAGTGACTCTGAGCGCTTTGTGATCTAGATTTCTTTTCGCTTCTTAACCTCATTGAATTAAATAGTAAAATTATTACATTCCGGTAAAGTTTAGCAACGGAAGACAAAATCGCAAAAAATAGCCACAAACTTTCAACAAAATATTATTTTTTTAATGATAAATGAAAATTAATTTTGGCACAGAAATATCTAAAACCAATTCAAAATAGTAGTTGCCACATTGTGAAAAATGGAGAATTAAAAGGCTGAAGAAATAAAGTGTGAAAGAACAACAAATAAAATGACGTACAAAATAGTGAAATGGATTAAAATGCTTTCTTTAGCACGCAAAAAAAGTAAAATTCGTCATACAACTAAATTTGTGAAGTCAATTAAACTTTTGATTCAAGTCAATTTTTATATATACAAAAATTATTTATGTTTGATTATGAAGGAAGCTCGTATAAGGGGCTATATGCTCTTAGACACACTCTCAAGTACGTTCCTGGAACTAACCAGTACTGATGAATGAGTGTAAATTTGCTTGCTCTAAGAAACAATGGCATGCCCCTGAAGGGGTATGAATCCATGTGGTTGCGATCTTTAGATTGTTAGTCCGACCTGATCACACTTAGCCTCAATTGAGTCAGTAGTGTACGTTCCATTCCTTAATTTATTTTGTACGTTTTACAAAACGTACGGAGTTTAAAAAGTGAAAACCGCTCCCATGTCTTTATTTTGTGATCTGCTAGGTGGTCGCGGACGAGGGCCTATATTTACCACTGTCGTATATGACCAGACTCAATCAAATCTTAGTCTGCAACATAAATAACGTTCTTTAGAGTAAGGAGCCTTCATTTTTACTCATTTTTACATATGGCTACAGACGTTTGAATTATCAAACGCATTTTGTTGTGTGTTTTTATTCATGTTTCACTTCCAACTCTCTTGATATAATTTAAAATCGTACTGGGATTATTAAGGCTATTAATTTACTGTGAACGTTGTGTAGTTTTTGTTGGCAAGTCATTAACAGGCATGCTTTGATCTTTTCAAGCAAATTTCACTGTAACCGCGGATGTCATTCATAGAGGATTTTGAATGAGTGAGGATTCAATACTTATTTTATTTAACGAGTTGAATAGAAAATATATAATGCGAGACTCCGACGAGCATGATATTATAATATGTAACTCTTTCAATAAATTTAGTAACGCAGCTACACGGATGTAATATAATATTTATCATATATCCAAAATAAGAGCTTTTAACGTTAAAAATGAATAATGATTTTTTTTATTGACGCCCTTATAGTGTAAAGTTTACATTTACGCGTCCTTTTCTTTTGCTTTGTAATAGGCAAAAGACGTCACGTCAAAATAAATAAACGGCCGTGCAATATCTACTTTACGGAGTCGCTAAAGAAGCACAGGTACTATTAAGAAAAGCAACATAATACAGTGACGTCATTAAATTATAACGCTGTAAAGAACAGAACGAATTGTCTAAAATTATCCAATGTAACTGATTTTATTCAAATGACATGAACAAAATATCATAAAACAATAATATATGTACAAAACTAGAACATAAAATAATGCAAAACTCACACAAAGGCTGACCTTAACTAAATTTTTACTGTAGTGTAAAATGTTACTCAAATATACAGTGATTTAACTGTAATTTTTTTTATTTAAAAGTGAAAGTTATTACTATAGCAGTACAATAATTCACTTAATAATTATTTATAGTCATATTATATATTTAACAAACAATATGAAAACGTTCATCAAAAATGTAGTTAGTAAGTTGCTATTTAAAATCGTTTGACATTATTAGAATAATTATACACAGAAAAAATATGGAAAATTTACATAATTTCTCACCCAAGTAGTCTATAAATCTATAATGGAGCTGACTTGTATCTGATTCTTTCAAAAGTTCTTTTTTATAGCCAAACCGAAAATGTCCACTTTACTTGAATTCTGACAAAAACAATGACATTTATGTTATATTTTTAACATTTTTAAACAAACGAGCCGCGTCAAGACAAAACTAACATAGTGCGTTTGCGACCAGCATGGATCCAGACCAGCCTGCGCATCCGCGCAGTCTGGTCAAGATCCATGCTGTTCGCTTACCAACTCTATTACAAGTAGAGAAACTGAACGCGGCTCATATGATAAATGAAGTAAAACAAAGTGAAGCATATATTTATGTTGACGTTTCCTCTGATGTCCATTATTTCACATATATTTCCAAATCTTAAAGGTGTACATTAAAACGGTTCTTAAACACCGATTTTTTAACATCTTTAAAAAGCTTTAACATCAAACCGAGTCTGGGTATTTTTTCGCCATTCTTTTTATTGTTTTTAAAGCTTTATGCTTCTTTTTTAATAACTGACATTTTAAACTTGTTCTTCATTGTAATATTAAACTTGAACTCATGTGCATCTATTTTTTTAATACTTTAGCAGTGCTTATTATATCATTATATGTCATAATATAAATGATGTGAAGAAAATTCAAGTTATAGGTCATGTGGCAACTTAAAGCTTTACTGGTGAAGGAAGACCTCAACTGCCCTTCCGTGAATTAGTTCAGGCACGAGCAGGCATGTGCATAGAACCACATACGTTCCGTAAGACGTTACAGATAAGATATACATTAAAGAACAATATTATACAACTTTTTGTTTAACAATCAATTAAGACTGTTAGTGGTCATTCCGCATCAAGTACAGTAAAGTTTTAGTGATATAACATTTGAGCCGCGTCACGACAAAACCAACGTTATGCGTTTGCGACCAGTATGGATCCAGACCAGCCTGCGCTTCCGCGCAGTCTGATTAGAATCCATGCAGTTCGCTTACAGACCCTATAATAAGTAAAGAAACTGATAGCGAACAGCATGGATCCTGATCAGACTGCGCGGACGCGCAGGCTGGTCTGGATCCATGCTGGTCGCAAACCCATTACGTTGGTTTTGTCGTGACGCGGCTCATATATGCATGCCTTGATATATTTCTTCGTTCAAAATTGATCATTTAATTTCGTAGAATAACTAAAATGATCACATTGATTGAGTTTAATATAGCCTCCAAAATAAACCATATTTGTCATAATTCTCTCCTATTTATGATACAAATGTTTGTCTTAGCATAACTTTGGACAAACACAATAAGGTGAATACAGACAAGTTTCTGGGAATTAGAAAACAGTAAACAAAATATTTGTGTTTGTGTCTGTGCCTTTTACCGTATTTCTTCAAACATAATAATTATCTTTCAAGATTCATGCGAGTACAAAGCACATAAAAACGGACAATTGGATTTTTATTTAAATCAACAATATTAATGTGTTTTAACTTGTACTATATTGTAATGCATCCCTGTGTTACTACTGTTCATTACTGGAACAATAAAAGATGAAAAGTTAAACTTTTATATTCTTATTATTCGTTTATCACAAGAATCAAATCAAAAAAAGGAAGTTGATATAAGACCTTTCTTTTTATAATTCCAATGAATGTCTTGAATTTATTTATAGTAAAATAGTTTACTGCTTTATTGTTATTTAAAGTCCTGAAAAAAAATCTGAATAATGTGTAATCCCTCGCAACAAAATTACATGACAATTGTAGATTCGGTTTGATTGAGTCTGCACATGAGGGATAATGAAAAAGTGTAACATCCCTAACGTCCCAGTTCCGGCTTGAGCGGTACGTAATTTTCAACAATTAAAACTGTTGGAATCAATGATCCCGAAGGCCCGGAAAAATACGGAAATACCATACAACAAAACGAATAGGTCAAAATAATATAAAGTTACCAATTTAGTTTTGATTCGCCTCGTACTAGTAATCTAAGATAATGAAACATAAGATAATACGTTACTGCTGTTCCTTTTTTAATATTTTTAGTATTAGCCTAGAGAGTTTCACTCCTGACATTCCATTTAATAAAATGAATTTCTCAGCTCAAATTAGTATGAAGATTTCTAAAACAATTCTCTGCAGGCTGAACAGAATTAAAAGTCATTACGGAAACTCACGAAAAGTAGGAATTAATGTTCTAGACCCACGATACGCCCACTGGAATCATGAGATAAACAATCTGTAGTACAACTAAAAGACGAGTCTCTTCCTGAATTACAACAATATCGATTCCCATTACAAGACGAGGAAAAAAATTCCATTCAAAATGGTCACATGACTGTGACGTCAGACGCTATGTGGGAAGATAAAACTATGATAGGTTTTCTCAATGAAATCTTGCTTTCATTCGATCGCTCTAAGCTGAGACGATATGTTATGCAGACAGCACATTGAAAAACGGGTTTGAATTAAATATTAAATGTCAGCGCTTATATCGTATAAGTAGTAAATAAGCAGAGCTTTGTGTTGAGCTAGTATTTTATGGATATGATATGTGTTTGATTTCTGACATTTGCATTAAATCTATTGGATGAAAATAGGAAAACAAAACTGATGAAAAATGATAAACATTGTATTGAATTTTCAGAACAGGAATCTGCCGATAATAAAACTAACTCTAAAAGGTGCGCATAATAAAAAGTTTGTCTTAAAAACGATATATGTTAGTTTCGAGAGAGTAGGAAAGTGTTTTTACTTGTCTATGACAATTGAGCTGACAAATGAAAAAAGATACAAAATGAGATTTTCTTGGATCAATGAAAGAACAAGAAATTGATTTTCATAACAAGAAAACGTTGATTTTATGAACATAAAAAACAGTTTGTGATTCTAGCATTATGAAACAATCAGAGTATATTCTATTAATGCCAGACCCGTTAAAATTATCTATAAATATTTCGGAAGAACATAATGGCAGTACGTTGACTCCAGGTGCAGGAAGTAATGGTACATTTGTATCAGACGACAAACAGCATTTTGTGCATTACATTCTTTATGTGATTGGCGTGCTGGTGACGTCGGCAACTGTAATTGGTAATGTGTTAGTAATTGTCGCCGTGATAAGTGATAAGCGTCTGAGAAAAGTGGGAAATGTCTTTATCATCAATCTTGCAGTAAGCGACTGTCTTGTGGGCATATTTGTCAGCCCCTTGGCAATAACATATGACATTACTAGTGACTGGTTACTGGGAAACGTTATGTGTGATATATGGGTATCATTGGACATTATTAGCTGTACAGCGAGTATTCTGAATTTGTGTGCAATAGCATATGACAGATATCGTGCTATAACTGAACCGATGACGTATGCTCGACAAAGAACATTCTCTCGTGCTTGGTGTGTTGTAGCGTTCGTTTGGATTTATTCCTTTCTTATAGCACTTCCGAGATTTCTTGGTTGGAGGGATGAAGATGAAGAGGCGCAAGATGGAAACTGTTTTATAAGCAGGGAAATCGGTTATACGTTGTATTCAACATTTGGTGCTTTTTTTCTCCCTCTCTTATTCATGATCTTCTTCTATTATAGAATTTTTTGCGCAACTTGCACGAGAAAAAAAAGCTGGAGTTTACATAGAGGTCATTTGAACTTTATTACGAATAATGATGAAAACGTAGATAAGAGTAATGTACTGTCATGTTATTTGTGCAGGCTTTTGCCATGTTTTTCTAAAGGACAGGCATTACCTCCTACTACAACTGAACAGGCAACTCAAACTTCTAATAATGAGTTATGCAATGTTATAAACATAACAGAAACAGAGTCAGAAGTGGACAATCGAAGAGAAAGTATTGAGCCTGAAATTTTGGCTATTTTCCAAATGAGACACCGATCAGAACGAATATTTTCAAACGCGACCGTGTCAAGCTTTGGGTCTACATTTTATTCCTCGACAGATTCCTCAAACACGGCAACAACCTCATTTTCCGAAGGAAGTGACAGAAGTAGCAGTATAAGTGCTGAGTGTAGAGATCGCAGCTCCAGCACCTGTACAACAGGGAGTAGAAGTTTTAGTTCCGGTCCAGATACTGCAAGGAGACTAAGCGCATTTCGCGCTCATCGTTTATCAAATCCAAGACATAGTGCTTTGCAGGCTGAAGTTATACACGAGATAGAAAAAACAATGATTGAGTCAAGTTATCCTGAAAACGTTGAACTAAAGGCAACAGGAACTGCTTTAGAAACGGATGATACTCATGATGAGCTGAGCGAAGAGGATAAAACAGGCGACCAACCAAAGCATAAACGACGAAAGTCGCTTAAATCGGCTACATTTAGACGCAGAAACTCTAGAAAAAGCAGGAAAATGGCAATGAATCAAGAGAAAAGAGCAGCAAAAACATTAGGTGTGGTTATTGGGTGCTTCATAATTTGTTGGTTGCCATTTTTCATCGTGACTTTACTAAGATCTCTGTGTTTAAACTGTCACTTTTATCCTCTCCTTGTTCAATCATTGTCTTGGCTAGGCTATTTTAATTCTGCTTGTAATCCCTTTATATATACATTCTTTAATAAGGATTTTAGAAATGCGTTCAAAAAGATATCCTGCTATCGTTCATCAAACGTTGTATATTTATAAAACCAAGTATTATTTTTATAATGTTTTTTTTTAATTTTTAACTCACTTTGTATAAAAGGTCGTTTTATTCATGTATCCGATAAAGGTTATGCATAGGATGATAATATGATTGTGTATGCGCTGTTATATTTACCAATATTGGCTGGACCAAGATGAGTAGCGTTTATTTATTTGGTATATGTACAGACTGCTGCTTTATAAATATTGTTTCCTATCTCTTGATAAAATACGCATATTGCCTTTATCGGAAAAAAACATGTGTACAAGCTATATATAAATGAAGTATTATTGTAAGTTATTGAATTTATGATATATATTTTACTATGTGCTATTGTATTTGTTTTTGAAAATTAAATTTAATTGTTTATTCTGCGGCAGTTTATAATTTACATCCCTTCTTTTTATAATCCTTAACACGGAAAGTAAAGTAATTTTACGGAAGAAATGTAGCTTTTACTAGATACCATATGACACTGCAAATAACGTTAAAACTGTACAATATTTGTATATCCTCTTTTATGTACAGCTAAAATGGCATCCGTCCATTCCCTAGTGAATAGTTTACAATCACGACCGATCCTTCCAATTCAATTTTCTCCCAAGAGACGAAAGAAGCAATAAAACAGTACGTAATCGTCTGCCACGATTTGCATCATCAACAACTAGAAATTTGTGAATGAACAAATGCAGTCCAAATTCTAATACAGTTCAATTACAGCAATTTATTATAATAATCTTTTAATTTTTTAGACAAACTATATTATATAAATTAACTTAAAGGTAAAGTGTACTGAAAGCAGCGGAATATAATTTTACATGTATGACTGAAGCGTGGTTTTCCTCTTTCTTTTCTCTTTTGTTTTTCTTAAGGAGAGGGCGTACTGTACGAATCATCCTTACTTTGATTTTCTGTCGTTCTTTCTTCTTTGTGAAAAGATAATAAAACTAAATCAAGTTAACACACTCGCTATTTAAGCGTAAGTCATTCCACAACATGTTTTAAGTAAAGGTTTGCTTTTAACAAAAAAAAACATGTAAGTAAGCAATTCAGGAATAAAACATTTTTAAAGAGAAACAAAATTGTAGGAGTGAAGAAATGTAAAAATGTACACAAAAAGATACAAAAACGGCTTTGGAAATTTGATATCGATACTTACTTAGTTTTATGATATTTCTAAGCTCTATTATGTAAAAGGCTCATATTTCTTATATAAATTACTTTATCGAAAGAAAAAACAACGCTCGTAGTATCCAGTGAGAAAAATATATCATGAAGACAGGGTTTTTTCAAATACCGATAGCATTAATGTTCTTAATAAAGAAATTTCATCATGCTAAGGTATGTTATGGAAACTATATAAGAATGTTCATACAAAAAGATTGACACACACTCACACGGCTTGAAATAATGAACATAATGCCTTATTTGTCGAAACTTCGAAATGAAGGTAAAATAACTAAATATTATCCTAAATGTTAAACGTCGAAGGTAAAATAACTAAATATTACCCTTAATGTTAAACGTCGAAGGTAACATAACTGAACATTATTCTTGATTTTAAACGACAAAACTGTGAGGGCTTCATTTTTGAATTATTCCATATTTTCATGTCAATTTTGCTATACCCTTATTATTGTAGCATCATCATTGTTTTACTATCACTCGTACGGGTTGTTTACATTTTGTGTATGTCAAATGTATTTCTTTGAAACGAAATGTAGATAACGACGCGATTATATAGTTTCAATGCCTGCTGAACGTTTGAAACGTTCTGCGCAAGTTGAATTGTTCACTATTATTGCCGGTGTTATATTTACTAATCTTATTTGGTACGCGTGTACATATGTCATTGAACATCAAAAAGGTCAAAGCATAGGGCATTTTCATTTCAGGAATAGCATGTGGAACCATTTCTCTTTTTATATACTTTTACTAAGCAAATTACTTGTTTGAAATACGCGGGTGTTAATTAGCATTCAATTCATAACGCCGGCTAAATTCATCGTTACAATTCGAAATCTCTTAAAACATAATTGCATTTTCATTCTTATTATTTCATAAAAGGAATTTCTAGAATATTGATGAAAATAACCACTTTTCGGTACATATGATCAGATGGTACCCATCTCAATCATTGATTATAAATGAATGTCGTATGATATCTACATTGGTCAACTCCCTTCAAATTGTTGCCATATATTACAAAAAATAATGCTGTATCTACTGGAATTAATATTATAAAATCAAAAACACCAACAATGCAAGGGAGAGCAACATTCAGTAAACGCACACCCCAAAAAACCCCAGTCGGTTTGTTTTAATAGAGTATATCTAATAATTCATTTAAACTTCGGGTCTATATGGATAAAACTTAAATGTTTCTAAAAAGAATGAAAAAAATGTATGCAGTACTTCTATGTCGCTGCTTTAGAGATGTTACATTGTTTAAATCGTTTTTTTCCTTGCTGACTTCCTAAGTGTAAAAGTATAAATTCGTCATAAAGATATCAATTTGTTATTAAAATTAGTTTATCAGCAAAAGAATTCTCCAGGGAGTTTTATGATACTGAAAGGCGTTATATTTAACTTTTGTTTGTTTGTTAGTTTGTTTGTTGGGATTTTATGTAATTCCAATACAATTCAGTTCAGTTCTGTCGCGACTTTCCAGCTTTTACGGTAGAAGACCTCCGACCCCTCATTGTATTACTTCAACACGAACGTGTACCTGAGTGGAACCACCGACCTTTCCTAAACAAGCTGGGTAGCGTTTTAAAATAAAAGTATAGCCGATAAAAACCGTGGTTTCTTTGTAAATGATTATATAAAATAATTGTCGGATAAAGTTTGAAACTGCAGGGAAAAAAGGGAATGATTATCGGAAAACTGTCATGAAAATACTGCTGACGTTGATCTGCCATTAAATGAGATCTCATCCATTTCTGAGAACTTTAGATATTTTATTCTTTTTCTTTGGCTTAATTTAATTACTCGAATTCCCATCACGTTTTAGTAAGAGAGTATGTTTTACCAAATAAGGACTTTCTGTTAAATGACTCTGAATAACCTAGTCATTCAGATATGATATATGCATAAATCGCTTGTTTTCAAAAAGAGTACTGTAACAGAATCGTTAAACAACTTTTAAGAGGACACATTTATTAGAATACCTGCCTCGCAGTTAAGAATATGCAGATTTGATCCCTGCTGGGTCATGATCATGTTTCCTCATATAACACTACTACCTGTCACAAAGCGGATTTCGAAAATGAACCCAATAGTCTTTAAGCTTTTAACAACAACGTGTTAAAATAAAGGTGTTTTAATAGCTTAAAGAACAAATATGCACGGATATGCAAATAACTAACTAATCATTTATTTTAATCGAGTGGTTTGAAAACAAATACTCCATGAGTGGCGGTAGCCACGAGTGAAACATGAAATTATATATACCACGAGATGATAATAAATCCCGTATTTATTGCGAAAAAATGATGTTTATTGTAATAAACTTTTCTAATTTGTTTTTGGCTTAACGATTTGAAAAATTTTCCTTATATTATTTCTTTGCTATAGATCTTAATTGTGAAAACGTTGTTCGGAAAGACACAAGTGAAAATACGGACAATATGTTTCATAACAGTAAAAATACGAAAAATGATTGTATGTCAGCAATATTTCTCAATGTTTCATTGAACTATTTTCTGTTTCATACATATTAATTAAACAAATATTATATTTAATATTGAATTGATACGAATTTAATAGTCTGTAATCACATAAGTGTCGTATGTAAAACAAAATACGGGACACCAAAGCAAAATACAAATATTTGGCCTTGCTACTATAAGCAAAAGTGGCACAATATGTATTCTATTCTGACCTATGTCATAAATGTGGCACTCGTTGTCATAGATAAGTTCCATGTTTTGATATTTGTTGATTTATGTAAGCATTTCAAATAATTCTTAAGTTTAGTTTATGTTTAAGACATCATTACTCCACTTATTTAATCATTAAAACGTTTCATATCAATTTTCAAGATTATTCGAGACAATAACTCGTGAAAGATGACACACGGAACACTTTCGATGAGAGACTTTGCTATCATGTACTATTAAGGGAATCCAGACAACCTCTCGTAATTACATTTAGCATATAACTTTTAGTATAATAAAATATTGACAAATCAGACAGATCAGACAGATTTTTCTTCAAAACAAAAATGATGTCCTAGAATTGGCACTGTCTCTGTGTGAAAAACACAGAAGAAGAGGGGATGAAAACAAAATCTACAATATGAAAGGACTTGCAATACAAACCTATTTGTTTTTAATGTTAACGTCCAAGAGGATTTCAAATTTCTGTGTGTGTCCTCTCATCTCCAAGGAAATTTTTGGACTTGTGAAAGGCTTAAAATTGCCTCAGGTTGACCTTAAGGTAACGTGTAACCAACGCCGAAAAGCCTTGGACTCTATCTCAACCCGTTTAGAAGATGCAGCGCTTTAAAATCAGTTTTGATGGAAAAAGATCAACGCAACATAGTGATTTTTGGCAATTTTAATATGTCCCCTCGTTGCCATGGTAACAGAAAATTTAAGACTGAAGGTGCAGTTACAAAGGCTATTGTCCAGTCAACATTTGTGCTATGTTTAAGTAGTATTGAAGCATTTTTTATATTTTCATAGCAATTTGAACTTGCAACAGGAGGCCTTTCAATTAAAACAGCCTTTTTTCACAAAATGCTCATGCAGTGATTGGTTAACGTGGTTTCTTCATCATCAAACGTATTGTCTAATTCAAGTAAATGTTATAAAATCATAATAAATTATTTCAATAAATATCATGGAAAACGGGAGTAGAATGTACAATACAAAATGAAAGCAAAAATAAAACTTTCATTCGTGTCATATGTAGTATACTAAATAATTAAATTGAGGAACAATTCATAGAGAGAAAAGGAAACAAAATAGATAAAAATCACCAAATCATTTTTATTTAGTCTGTGAATGAAACATTGTGGAAAGTGAAACATTTCTTACACTCTGTAGTACCGACTCCAACGGTAGTCAATTGTCTACTTACTGTATTGGAATCAAGTCATGATTTTCATATATATGTTGGAGGTTTTCCTTATTCCTCAAAAGCTTCTTATATTGTATGTCCTGTTATAATTTCTAAAAAGTAATTCGTTGGTCAATTACCTAAATCATACTTTACTCTTATGCTTTCTAGGAATTATTAAAATTATAAATTAAATTATAGAGATTTTGTATGGAAGTCAAAATACTACTTTGTTTACATGCTACTACTTTAATGACAAATAATTTCATATTCATCGCCACTTTCTTCAGGAAATAAACATCTTACATAC